ATTTTCCACATGTTATGCATGTAAAAGGTTTCTCACCTGTATGAGTTCTCATGTGGTTATTCAAACTACTTTTACGAGTGAAACCTTTTCCACATGTTATACATGTAAAAGGTTTCTCACCTGTATGAGTTCTCATGTGGCTTTCCAATCTAACTTTACAAATGAAGCATTTTCCACATGTTATGCATGTAAAAGGTTTCTCACCTGTATGAGTTCTCATGTGGTTATTCAAACTACTTTTACGAGTGAAACCTTTTCCACATGTTATACATGTAAAAGGTTTCTCACCTGTATGCGTTCTCATGTGGACCTCCAATCTAACTTTACAAATGAAACTTTTTCCACATGTTCGACATGTAAAATGTTTTTCTCCTGTATGAATTCTCATGTGGTTATTCAAACTACTTTTGCGAGTGAAACCTCTTCCACATGTTATACATGTAAAAGGTTTCTCACCTGTATGCGTTCTCATGTGGCTATCCAATCTAACTTTACAAATGAAACCTTTTTCACATGTTATACAAGTAAAAGGTTTCTCACCTGTATGAGCTTTCATGTGGTTATTCAAATTACTTTTTTGACAAAAACATTTTCCACATGTTATACATGAAAAACGCTTCTCGCCTGTATGAGTTCTCATGTGGTTATTCAAATGACTTTTATGACAAAAACATTTTCCACATGTTATACATGAAAAACGCTTCTCACCTGTGTGAATTCTCATGTGGTAATTAAAACTACTTTTATGACTGAAACCTTTTCCACATTTTATACATGTAAAAGGTTTCTCTCTGGTATGAGTTCTCATGTGGGTAACCAAACTACTTTTTTGACTGAAACCTGTTCCACATGTTACACATGAGAAAGGTTTCTCTCCTGTATGACTTCTCAGGTGAGATATTAAATTACATCTGAATTTGAACCTTTTACTACACACTTTACACTGTTTACATTTTTTACCTTTGTGAATTCTCTTGTCATTCGCCCCTTTCTCTACATTGTTACTTTGACCTCTGGTTTTCTGAGCTCTCTTCTGTTGCCGTTCAACTCTGCTGGATCCTGAGGCCTCATTAGTCTTTATTTCCTGATGCTCTGCTTTAGGGAAGTTCTGGAAGAAGATTTGGTTTCTATTAAGTTCAGGTTGCTTGTTGTCTGTTTCATCATAAGAAGCCATTAGTATTAAGGTATCAGTCTCCTTCAGTAGATCCTGGTTTTTATCCTGACTGTTGCCACCAGCCTCCTTCTTTGCCATCTGCTGATGTCCTGCTCCATGTTCCTCTTTGATTTCAGGAAATCCTGAATATTTTCCCATTAATGTATCAGTCTCCTGCTTCATTGCATCTTGGTTTTCATCCAGACTGATGTCTTCAACTTCAATCTTTACCACCTGCTGAGATTCTGATTGACGATCATCTTTCTTCATTTGTTTCAGTTCATGTTCCTCCGGTTCTACTTTTATATCTAGAGATCCAGAAACTGTTCCCTTTAAGGTGTCCGTCTCTTGCTTTATCACTATGTGGTCTTTTTTCTTTACAATATGCTGAGGTTCTGATCCAAATTCTTCTTGTTTTACTTGTGTAAGTTCTGGTTCCTCTGCTGTCCCTCTGGTTTTTAGAGATTCTGTTTCCCTCTGGTCCAGAACAGAAATCTCTTTTAGGTTGAGGATAAAATGATGAGCAGGAACATCTTGTCTAATAATAGACATAATGCTGTGGCAAATCTAAAAAGAGAAAAACAATCAAATGTAATATTAAAGTTTTAGCTTAATACCAACAACATTAAGTTCTCCGTTTATCGTCCATTGGCCAGTTGCTGGACCAGGAGCCTCACAGCTGAAGGACATTAACATTATGAAGCTACAAATGAGGATTGGAGATCATTGTCAACTGTTAGCTTTTTTCTGCAAACATTAAGGCAAAACAAGGTTTCTACAAACAACGTCTTCTGGGTCAGAGTGAACACAGCAAGGCTACTGATGATACACAATCTGAAACAGATGAACAAGGATCCTTTTTTAAAGGTTGTTTTGCTGCACTAGTGCCCTTTATTTTGTCATTTTTTCTTTGCAAGTAGGCAGACCGGAAATGGGGTGAAGAGTAAGAAAGACATGCAGCACAGGTCGCCGTGGTCAGAACTCGAACCTGGGAACAGCCGCATAGAGGGCCAAAGCCTCTCTAGACATGGACTGCGCACTCTTCCGCTGCGCCACCACCGCACCCATGAACAAGGATAATTGAAGACATAATGAAAGCTAATTAAAAGCCCAATTGTCACTCAGAAAATAGTTGGAGCACACCACAGTGTTTATCGTCCAGACCCACAACACTTTACAAAACACCCAAATGGTAAAAACCTCATACTTCAAACTGAAAATTATGTCATTTATAACAACTGATAAGGCAGAACACGTAAAAGGTCACACTAAATAAATAAAGCAGTTTCATCCAATCAGCCACTAACAGCTGTAGCCTGTGATATTTCTAGCTACCCTTTTTCTTCCCGATTCTCCTCAGATTGTACAGATACTCCTCTGTAGCCACTTTCGTGCCTCTCCTAAGATCAGATCTTGCCACACTGTACAGAGTTCTGTCTCCTGACTTGAAGGCTCAATTCCAGGCCCTCAGAAGTACCTTTCCCACGCATCTGTCCGTTTATGATGTCGTATAGAAGCAAGAGTCTACATCCCACCTGGTGGGTGCTGTTATGACTACTACTGTTAGCTCTCTAGGCAGGTGGAAAGGTCTGCACACAAAAGAAAGAACCTCCAAGTCTGGGCAGCAGTGGGTGTACGTGACTCTGCAGTTTCTACTCCAGTCATTGTGAGTTTAAATACAAAGTCCCCCTCCTCTGCTCTTACCAAAGATTTTTAAAAAGGGATAAGCTCCACCCACCAGGTGAGGGAGGGAGTTCTGACAAGCATCTGACTGTTGGTGTTACTCTCCCCGTCCTTCTTTAACAGATGCCATCTCTTGCACCTGAAGGCCATGTTGTGAAATTGCGGTTTGGTCTGGGAGCCCTTGGTTGTGTTGGCTTCTCTGGTTTTTGGTTGTAGGATGAGGTCTTGAAATATAGGGTGAGGAGAGCGGCTCGAATCCGACGGTCAACTGCTGGCTGGTTTGTGACTTCTCCCACTCTTGTTTATTTTTGCTAAGACTCCCAGTTCCTCTATAATGTCCAGACGTGGACACTATAATAAAACTGTTATGTTAAAATGTAATTTGGTCTGGACATCATGTGTTGTGCGTCCTGCGAGATGCTTCAGACTCCAGGACCGCAACAGTCACGTCTAATGCGTCGTACATTATCCGGTCACATGGCTCGGTCAAAGCCAATCGTGCAGCTTTATTATCTAGCATTTAGATGCTGTCCAGCAGATGCGAGGGGACATATTCTGTATTCTGCTCAGAATAGAGAATAGAAGGATTGTATTACAACTATTTCATACCAGTGAAAGCCAAACATTATTAGTATTTGAAAGTTTGGACTAAAACTGTTTTATACCAGTGACCCAGCTTCTCCACTTAGACTTCAGTGAGTCCCATGACTGTTACTATTTGAATGATGGGACCACAACTGCCTCATACCAGCGACCTCAAGGATTAATATGATCATTTTTCTTCTAGCACAACTATGATTTCACTGTTTCTGTGGCGACTTTAGCTACACAGGCACAACTATGGCCACACAAAGGTTTGTTACATGGAATGTGCATGGAGCCGGCACCAGAGAGAAAAAGTTACAAAATTTTTATCAGCTTAAAAGACTACAGTCTTATTTCTAGAGATTCATAAATCTGCCACAGCTGCAAATGATCTTAAATCAGCTGAGTTTCCTAATTTGTTTTCTGCCTGCTATAATTCTAGGCAAAAGGAAGCAGCAATTTTAATTCATAAATGTTACCTTTACAGTATTAGACACAGTTACAGATCCAGAGGGTAGATTTATAATAATAAAAATATCCATATATAACCAAAAGATATGTATTGTCAGTATATATGCCTTAAATGTTGATGACCCCCCCATTCTTTTTCTGCACTGTCTAAACACTTGGATTGCTCACTTCTTCTTCTTGAGGGCGATCTCAACTTTGGTCTAAATGAAGAATTAGACAACCTGAACACAACAGCCTGTTGGCAATCAATAAATATAGTTAAACAGTACATGAGTGATTACGGACTTTGCAATGCATGGCGATCTCTTCACCCTAATGACAAAGAATATACTTTCTTCTCACATGTCCATCAATCTTACTCTCATCTGGATTATTTCTTAGTCAGCAGCTCGTTGTTGGCTGACATTTCAGACACTGAGATACACCCTGTAGCTGTCAGCGATCATGCTCCTGTCTCCTTAACTCTAGTAAATAAGAAAGAAAACCCACAAAGCAAAAACTGGAGGTTTAATACATCATTGCTTAAGGATGAAGAATTTGTCAAATATTTTAAAGA